TGCATAACGGGAATGAACCAATGTCACTATTATGTAACCGAAGTTTATTAATACTTTTAAAAGTTATTAATTAATTAATTTATAATTAACTAGTTGTTGCTCGCGTAAATTTTAATACTTAAATGTATTTAATTAATTTGTTGCTTGTTTCTTGAAGCTATTTAAATTTTTAATATAATCTAAAATAATGCATTTTGGCGTCATCTCAATGCAAATTTTTGATCCGCGAGTTTTGTAATAAATATTTAATTTATTGTAATAATAAAGAGTCCTATGTTCTTTGCAATATCCTTGAAAATACTTGTAGAAAATTTTATGAAGATTGATTGAGTAGTTTTTGCGTGAAAGCGAAACAAACATACAAATCACCCACATTGGCAGTTTTTAATATTAATTAATAAAGATTATATAATACTATTAGTTTTGAGGGTACTAAATTAGTTTATGAGTGAAACTTACGCCATTTTCGAAGAGCATATCAACGACAGAGTCCTTGATCCTGTGTTCCGCCTCCATTTCTCTCACCAACGGTAGAATTTGCTCTTTTGCCAATCGGGCAACTAAAATATTACATTTTTGATATAAGTACCTATTTATTATTCATAAATCCATAATTGTTTTACCTGTTTCCTTCATCATGACTTCGTCTTCCGATAACATGGTGAGGGGATAACGTGGCGCCGGTGCCGCGTCGCATTGTAATTTCGGTGAGCACGATAGGCTACGGATCAAAGTATTTTTGGCAGCCGCGTTCTGCAAAAGCCACAAAAAACATTTCTAATCACAAAGAAAACTATTTATCAAGTGCACAATTTATTTTTCTCTATTTTTTCGGTAATCTATAAATAAATTACGAATTTACCCAACAGAACAAATCTAGGCGCACATATTTTTTGTTTTAATACAAAAACTCACTTAAATCACTTCAATTTGCATTAATTTAATCTCAAAACTTGTTTTACTTCCCAATTATTTCCTGTTCAACTTCAATAATACCAAAATGAATATTTAACTTACCACATTGTTCAATTTGAGAATACCTCTTAAGCTGTTCATTGTAATGGTCACTTATTAACACTTGTACACTAAATACGTCTTCAATTAGACCCGGAAATAGTAATTGTAATTTATTTGTTTGGATATTTATTAAAGTAATAAATATCTCTTGCAGTAAAGAAAACGCACGTAAAAACTATCAACGTGTGCGCGGTGCGGCGGTGCCTGTTCAAAACTGGTTCCCCAGAGATAAGTCAACTTTGTCCAACTCCGCGAGCTCAACCAACTCAGTAACATGGCTTAACAACACGCACCGCTGAATATACAGA